TGTGTTTCCAAAAGCAGCAAAGCTGGCCAGATTTAAAATCGCCTTGCTCATTATTGTGGATAGGCAATAAAGTAATAGGGAGCTGGTACTAAAGGAATGATGTTATTGAAATAAACATCAGAGGGGAGCCTGCGGGAGGAGCGAGTAGCCACAGGGCAGGCAGACCGATGGAGGCTTGGAGCCTTGCGGTGTTCCGGGAAGCCCAGGTGGGTGCAGGCAGCGGGGGGGTGAGCAGGCAGCACCGGGCAGCGGGGCGGCCGCTTGCCCCTCAGGAACAGCCACACCAGGGCCAGTGATAGGGTTTGATTTGTGACACAGGCCTTTTGTGAGAAAGGCCCTGCCCTTTTTGTGGAGGGGTACTGCTCATTAGCTGAGCTGCTGGGCTGATCTGGCCTACCCTGCCCCCCAGACTTCTGTGTGGTCTGCTAACCTACCCCGGGTCCTGCGGGGTGTTTTATCCCGGTAAGGTGAGAGGTTTATCACATGCACAGCAACATACACATACATACATACATTCACACATATATGTATATATATATATATTTATATAGGCATGTGCATCTCCAGAAGTTAACAAACTGTTCAGCAAAGCACCTGTACATCGCAACAGGACAACTCCTACCTGCAGTCTTCAGTAAAATGAGCGTGACGCAGAAAATCAAGCACGGAGCAGTGTCCTGCACTTGCTGCCATGTATGGTGACTGCGGATCCCAGCTCCTTTCCCCTGGCCTGGGCGAGCCATTCTCCTTGCAGGGGCTGAGACCTGGGACCCACTCGCACCCCAGAGCCACTGCAGCATCTGCAAATGGCCCTCTCCTCCCCATGGACCACAGATGCCCATTAGCCCCAGGGTCCCCATTGGGAGCTGGGACTGGGCTCTTACCTCTGCTGGGAGAGTCCCCAAGAGCCCCACACAGCACGGCCAGCACTGCCAGGCAGCCTGCCCCTGCGTACCCCATCCTCCGGCAGGCAAATCTCCCCTCACTGGTGTCCGAGCATCCTTTCAGAGCTGTCTATCTGGGAGGAAAAAAATAAATAAAGAGAGAAATAAATAAAAAGCAGGAGGACTGTAGAATTAATAGTGGAATGAATAATTCATTGCTTGTTTGAATTAAGAGCGGCAAGGTAACTTGATCTATTCCTCCCTTCCTTCACTCAGTTTTAATGATCTGGATCAAATGTCCCAAGGATTTACACTATACCAGATACCTTGTCAATACACTATGTTTAGAAGAGATATTAATGTTTCAGATATGGTGTGTAACGGCAGTAAGTCTGGGCTGACAATATGCCCTTAAGGGGCTATGAAAATAATTTAGTTTGCCAGGCAAGCCAGCGAACCAAAATGGGAATTTCAGACTTACTGCAGAAAAGCACCTCAGGAATTAACATGATTTATACTGCAGCACCCTCTGCACAAAGCCAACCAGTGGCAAAGGCTAGAGAAATAGGGAATGGGATTTAAACACAGCCACATCTCCACGTTGGCTGCCAGGTCAGCATCCCTGCAGCGAGTGCCCAGGCTCAGCGGGATGCTCAGCCTGGGAAAGCGTCAGTCGCGAGCACTAAAGGAAGCAAATCCCACCTCCCCTGAGGAAATGTAGAGATGAATTGTGACTCATGGGCAAAAACCATTGATTATTATAGAACCTTCCAAGGCCTTGGAGAATCACCCTGTTCTTCCATGCTGGCTCACACTCCCTCTCGCCCTGGCTCTTGGATGCAGTCGGCTGAAGGTAATCAAGCCTTTGCGTTCGGTGGGAAAGAAGTGCTCCTTGTGCTGTGCCACATTAGCTGGAGAACCCCCAAACCCAGCAGCAGTTCAGTTCCTTCCCTCTGACCCAGGAGAGAAAAGACTTTCCTGCTGCCATAGCCCACACGCAGACGAATGTCAGGAAACAAAAACCCATGGGGGCCTCTTGGCGTGAGGGACCTGTGCTTAAAAAGACACCTTCAAAGCAGTGGGGAAAGAAGTAGTGAGTATCTCTAAATCTTAGGCAGGGAGACAAGTTGCATTTATTAATTAAGCAATGAGGATCGATGCCTGAGATGCTTCCTGTGGATTAAAGATGAGCTGGGAGGAGCTGGTGGCCCGAAGTGCAGCTAAGGACCATTAATGCCAACTGGTCATGAATCCCCAGGAAATGCCCCATGCCAAGGTCATTAAGTGCCTGCATATATTATATGGGTAATAACAACAACAATAATATTTGTACAGGCTCTCTCCCCACTGCCCGGCCTCGCTGGAGCTATGCTGAGGGCTGGTGGAAGCACTGGGGCATTCCAGCCAGGAGCCCTCCATCCCGATCCCAGCTGAGGTGAGGGACACGAGGGTGTCTGTCCTGGGGCGTTGGGCACCACGTCACCCCACAAGCGCCAGGAGTAAGCGTGTACGTTTCATTGAGGAGATGCAAGGCAGCCCTCCCTGCCCCCGGGGGCTGTGCAAAGCTCCCGCTCTGGTGCAGGATCTGGGAGATGGCTGCAACACTGGCACATCTCCTACTGACCTCTCAGGGACACTGCAGAGCTTAATTAGCTGCTTTCATAACGGGCTTGGAGAGGAGGCCTGTCCCTGTGCCTTGTACAACACACCCACAGCAAGGAGGCAGGAGCCTCTCCTGGGTATATCCATAACCACGGCCCCGGCTCAGCCAGGAGCTCTCAGCCCTCCCAGCCACCATCCCCCTGGTTCGGGGACAATGTGCTCCCCAGCTTCTCCATTGCTGCACAATGGAGCAATACCTCCATCCTCCCCACATCCGTCTCTGGCAACACAAAAAGTCCTCCAGCCTTTCCACCGTGGGCCTCAGTGTCGTGGCACATCCCAGCACTGAGCCAGTGTCCAGGACACTGGTACCTACCCGGCTGCTCTTCTCTATCCCTCCAGCTGCGCTCTTCGTCAGCGATACCCCCAAGAGACAGGGGGCCAGGGCTGTGCAGCACAGCAGCTGTGTCCCCCTCCCCAGAGACGGCATCCATCAACCGCCAGCACATTCACCCTCTGCTGACCTGGGGATGGCCATTCCCTGGCCGGGCCCGAGCCCAGGCAACGCCGCTTCGGGAGGGTGGAGGGAGGCAGTGGGGGACAAGATGTGGCAGGGAAGCGGGCAGAGGAGGCAGGCAGGTCCTTCCGCACTGAGGTCTGGCTGGAGGTGCTCTGGATCAGCCCAGGGTGCTCTGGCTCTGGCCAGAGACACGGTGGGTGATTTTGAGGTGTTGCATATCAGGGCTGCCTCTCCTCCTCTGTGGGCAAATTTATAAATCATGAGTCAAAAAGGCATTTGATTCATTTAAATAGAAAGGATGTGATCAGGACTGTGAGACTTCTCAGAGAAGATCAAAGGTTTAAATTCGGTCCCCAGGAGAAACGGGAATTATTTAGGCAGGAAATAATGAGATGAAATTAAGAAGGTATTTAGGCTGCACATGAGGAAGAAGAAAAGCAGCAAAGCCAAACCCCTCTCCCCAGCACAACACTGCATGGGCAGCGGGAGCTTCCCGGGGGGGCAGCCAGAGCACCAGAGCATCCTGCCAGCACCCCCCCAGCCACCCACTGCTGCAGGGAGCTCATGTATCTCCAGCTCCACAGATCCCTCAATAATCGGCACCATTTCCCTATAAAACTGCCACCACGGGGTAGTTCCTGGGCCTCCAAAGGGAAGGAAACCTCTTTCCTCGGCAGGGAAAATCCTGCCCAAGAGTCTTTCCATCCCACATCCCTACCTTTGCAGGAGAGCCAGGCAAACCTCTGAAACGGGCTGTCCCCACAGGGGACGTGTTGGGAAGAGGGGACTCATGTGGAGCCAGCCTAAGAAATGACAAAAGGTGGAAGGGGGAAAGGAGAAAAGGGCAGAAAACAAAGTGCCCACAGGCAGTTTAAAGGCCCCTTCGAGTTCCTACTTCCAAGGACATCATGCCCCCCATGGAGAATGTCTCGCAAAGGCCCCCGTCCCCTCCGGCACGAGCTGCCAGCTCAGCACGCGTCACCTCCTCCCGCTCTGCCTGCAGCCTGCCTTTGCAGGATTGCAACCCGCAGCACTCACAGCCTGCTCCGTCTCTCACCACCCTCCCTTTCAGCCAGGAACAAAGACGGGAGGCTTCGCGGCAGAACGGCCGGACCAGCTGCGTAGGGTTTAACCATCGTGGCCCATATGTGCTGAAATACCCAGACATATTGGGGTTGCGTTTAAAGGAACAGTCCCAGCTTTCGCGCAGAAAGTCATCGCTTTTCCAAAGTGAGCGTGAAGTTTTACTCCAGGCCTTTGCAAAAAGGCTGGGTGGATTTTTAGCAAAATCTTAGAAAGGCAAAATATTTAAAGCAAGAGGTATATAAGTAAGGTTTTCAGAGTATGTAATATTCAAGAAAAATATTTTCTCCGTGTTCCTAGCTAGGGCCAAAGTAGGGAGAGCGACCAGAGAAAGCAACTCCTTATTTTATCAGCCCCACGCTGTGCAGAAGCACCTCAACTACAGCTGCTTATGGTGGCTGAAGCAGGGTTTGGATGGGAGTTGAGAGCTTGCCTTGGACTGAACAGAGACAACTTCCCTGGATTTCTCTGCGTTAAAAGCCAGAACCCTATTTTGGGTTACCAGGATGGCTTTCTTGTCAGCCCCTGCTCTGATGAAGCTAACATAAAAGCTGTAGCCACACGGGATTAATTCCAGGCATTTGGTAACTGGAGACAAATCTGATGCGAGGGGAAGCTACACTTCCTCCCAACATGACAATCAGGTTGGGTGCTGTGCCAGGGCAACCATGGGGCTGCCATCCCCCAGGGCAGGCCCTTGGCTCTGCCCCCAGCCCTGGGGGGGAGTGCCCCAGCAAAGCCCCATGAAGTTTTCACTCCTCAAGTGGGGTTCTTGTATGCCTCGGGCACCTCTGAGAGTCCTGTGACAAAAAGAAACAGCTGTTTAGTTGAAAAGAGGTTCAATTTAATGAACCATGGTTATTATACAACACTTAGGGGACATGGAAAGCAAATCACCATCCTCCCTGATAGACAGCAGCTACAACCTGGGTGCTTTCTCAGCCAGAGTGTTAGGACATGCTCTTTCTCTCCCCAGGCAGCATCACAAGGGTTAAGGATCAGGGTAGGCAGGGCAGGCCGTGCTAGGGCAGCAGGACCGCCTGCCTACATCCTCAGTGATGTCCTCAGCGGGCATCACGTAGAATTCCATCCCCTTGTACAGCCTTTTCTGTCCATGGTTGGAAAGGCTCTTTCCAGAGGAGATCAGTACCTTCTTCTCTGTATTAGTGTATAATGGGGCACACAGGTTCAAGTGACTTGCCTGGCATCACCCAGCAAGACAATGACACAACCGAAATGAACCCCATGGACTCCAGAGTGCTGGGCCAGTGCTCTGCTGTTCCCTTGGCCAGACAGACTTCTTCTTGAGGATCAAATCTCTCCTCTGGACATCTAACAGGGCACAACACCACTGCAGACTAACATGGACTGCAAAGTCACTGGTCTTCATACTGCAGCAGAGCTGTGTATTTGGGTGCTTTTTTTTTTTTTTTTTAAAGAAATCTCTCTTAAAATTGCACGTGAAGACTTCCATCAATATTACCGTGCCATTCTCCAAGGCATGGGTGATCATAGCAGCTACTCTGGAGTGGCATCGGATCCTTGAAATGTTCTCAAGAGTGAAAATCATACTGGAGACAAATATTTGATCCAAAGGCCTGTGAAAGTCAATGCACAAGGGACTCAGTCTACGGAGAAGACTGAATTTGAGCAACGTCTGCAGAGAAACAAGGATGTCCAAGTCTCGGCTTAAGATTTTTTTAGGTCAGGAATATCCTGCTAAAACACAAACCAGGAATTTTCTTCGATTCCTGCAGCTTTCAAATATCTACTCATATCTTCACTGAATGCAGAAGAGCCGCAAATTAATACAAATGGCTTTCTTCGACAAGAATTTATTATCATTTTCATCAAGTCTTCATTGAGACGACCGGTGTATGTGTTTTCCTGATAGCTCCAAGGAAGGTTTTCCAGTGATGTTTCCTGAAAAGACAAAAGGTTTACAGTGTGACATGTTAAAAAGGACAATTGATTGCTTACAGCCAAATCTCCCTCTTCCCCTCAGAGTACTGCACAGCACATTGGTCACCCTTGGGACTCCACCTGGGTAGAACTGACCCATCCTGAGAGCTACATTCCTCTTCCAAAGCCCAGATCAAATCTTTCCCTGTCATGAGACCTAGCCACTCATTCAGAGCAGACTGAACAAAACCAGAGCGTAACTATTGCTAAAAGCCACGGCAGAACCTTCTCCTTGGAGAATCACTTCCCACTGTGCCTTTTCTATTCCCAAGTCCTAAATCCCAAGTCTACTCCTCTCTATCGCCTCTTTCAGTCCCATCTCCCTGGACCAAAACTAAAAGAAGCCAGCCCTGCTCCAGACACAGCTCTGATCCCACGAGAAATATTAGATCCCATGATGTTAGGCCCAGTGGGGACCCCTCTGCTGCTATTAATGAGAAGCAGAAGGTGCTCTGATGTGGTGGTGACAGGCAGCAGAGAGAAATACTCAGACGGACAGACAGACATATAAACCTAAAAGGGAGGATGCACGAGTCAGTGCTGGACCACAACAAACCTGCTAAGAGAAGAGAAGAAAGGGAGAGATGTACACACGGGGCAGACAGTATTGACAGGGGTCATGTTTCTTGCCCTTCGCTGACTGAATTTGAAGACCTCCTCACGCTCTTGAGACAGCACTGTCCTGAAAAGGGTATTTAAGCTAAGTCACCAGGGACAATCACCAGTTACGCCCCTATAAAGTAGCCGAGGGGGTACCTAATTCACAAGCACTTTTCTCTATACCCAACCTCATCTTGCTGAGGCCATATGTAGAACATAATGTATGAGGCAGATCCACCATGAGAGATACAAAAAATGATTCATCTGAGAAACTAAAAATGCAATGGGATTCATTCCCTTAGCATAAATAATTCTTTCTATATCCTCCCTGCAATGAATCCTCATTTCTCAGGGAAATAATTTTCAACTACCAAATCTGTGCAGAACACAGGCAACTTTGGGACCAAATGGAAATGAAAGACTGCTCAAAATGTAAGACCACTGAGAGGTATGCCCTCATCCCATGGACTTGGCAGAAAAAGTAATTTTACAGAGGGGGAAACAACTTTAAGAAGTTTAAAAATGGGTCAGCTGGGAAAAATAATTGCTGGGAAGTTGGCGCTAACATACCAGAAGAAGAGAGCTCTAGCCATGAGCAATGAATGGAAGATAAGGATAGATTAAGGCACTGGTATGAGGAAAGAAGAAATAGTTCATTTGCTGTGAGTCTCCCAGAGCCAAGTTTTGTTTGCACAAATGTTGAGGTGCAACAACAACCATCTGAAGTGGGGGGGAATAATCAACAGTGACTAAGAATCAGTGAGTCCATCCCAACAGAACAGCTACCAAGGAGGTAAAGGGGAACAAGCAGTGACAGCTGCGTCCCCGAAATTCTCCAGACCGGTAGCAGTGTGGGAGTATACAGCAGATTTCACAACAGCAGCTACTGGATGACAAAATACCCTCGATGACCGGGAAAGAACTAAGATCACGCTGACAGAAGAACAGAGGAAGCAGAGGCTCATCCAGTACACAGAACCCTCACACAAACACACTTCACAACCATTTATTTACCTGGCTTAGGACGTAAAATATTCTGATGTTCCAGTATCGAGCCAGATCCTGGAGAAGAGGTTTCAGATAAATTTTGTCAAAGGTACGGAAGCAGCCAACGAGAGTTACAAAGGTTTCATCCTCTTCGTCGTCTGTTATGGACTGGAGGATGGGAAGCATTGGTGCAAGGCCGGTACCAGACGCCAGCATGAGGAGCTCTCCATGCTAACAACAAACCAGAAAATTTTGAATGAGCTGTGGTGACTGGAAACGGGTGTACTCATTGTCAGTTCCTCCTTGCTGCCACAGCGGGAAAGGGTCCCTCGAGAGAGAACGTATCAGAAGGTCATGAAAGACATTCAAATCTCAGAATGTATTTTTCTGCAAAGGATTACAGATAGCACTTTCAGGGTTTATATATCAAATCTAACAAAACTGTATTTTACCCAAATATAAACATTTATCCTGACTTTAGCCTTGATTTCAGCTAATTTATATTTCAGTTTCAATTCTGCAGTGCACTTTGCTGACCTACTGTGTGTCATTTTCCCACTGGAAATGATCTCTGCGTTTATCTTGGATGCTGCAAAGTACAATGTTGAATGATCTCTGGAGGAAACAGCTTCTTCTCCATCCTGATCCACATATCTTCCTGATGCATTATCTCACTTTTCTCAAAGAGCTACCAGCAGCACATAGTGCTTCCCACTCGCAAGGGAGGACGTTCACTCTACCCACAATAAGGCTGTCCAGGCAGTAAAGTGCTGTGCAGAGGAGGACAGGAGGTTCCCAGTGCCTTCCTCAGCTTCCAGCCAGTTCACCAATGCCAGAACTGGGACTTAAGCCCCTGTTGAGCCCTCAGAGGCTGCTTGTGCTCTCTTTTGACTGGGCAGTTTATTGTGAATGGATCTGATCTGCTTGAATCCGAGTCCTAGTCTTCTGACAGCAAATACAGATAACAAAATTTTACTATGAAACTAATGTTCAGGATGCACGTTATACCTCCTAAATAATAAACAGTTCTTCTACAGCAAGTTGTCTTAAAGATTGCTCAGGTGCTTTGCAAACTGCATGTACACAGATCTCCCAGACAGCCCCTGAACGCAGCCACTTCTAGGCATGACTACTATGTTCTGCCCCAAATGATTATCTGGAAGCTTTTAAGAAGAGAAGGGAACAGTAGCCTGAAACAGCAGGCAGAGTATTTCAGGAAGCAGAACACAATTGCTCTGCATGGAGCTCAGCCACTGGGATTTTACAGCCTCATTTTTGTTGGGGGGGAAAAAAAAAAGGAGGGAAAACCCCCCAGGCTTTGGGATCTTAATGACCAGTGTTTCAATTTTGCTCCTCATTTGAAAGGTCAGAATTAAGTAACTGAATTAGTATGTGCGAGAAGCCTTTCCCTGAAACTGGATCTGCCTTCCTTTGCCGTGAGCCCGGTATCAGCAGGTGGGATCAACATTTGCAGAGTGGCCAGGTGATGCGACACCTCACTGGAGCTGCCAGAGTTCAGGGAATACCCAAGACAGAAAAAGATCAACACCTTCCCTTCGCTCGTGCACACTCACAAAGCAGCAATGTGGTTCAAACAAGGCAAAACCCGACCCACGCTCATTGTTGGTGCAAAATAAGTTCCCTTTGTTAAACGCATCAGGACCTTCTAATACAAGTGATGAACAGAGAGCCTTGCTAATATTTTCCAGTCTCCCATCCACCTCCCTCTCCTCTTCCTTTCTAAATATTCTGCAGTTCAATACAGTGTAATTTCTCCACTTGACTGCTAATGCCGTAGCCCCATACAGTAACCCAGGAAGTCCCGAAAATAATAATGAAAACAGTAATCAAATCGATGTCTTCCCTTTGGAGTATTAAACAAAGCTACCTGCCACAAACTGAAACATCCTACGTCTCTTAGGGAACTAACCTTATTAGGTCGATATGGGAACCCTCCAAACGGCCCACGCCAAAAGACCATGTCTCCTTTTTTCCACGTTTTTATGTATTGTGACATTAGCCCAGCTTCATAGCACTAATAAAAAACATTGCACAAAAGAAAAGAATAATTATACTCTCTTGGAAGGTTTCCCAGCTTAAAGTCAATTATAAAGTTATCTACATTTAAACAAGAAGGGGACAAAAAAACATTTCATGCATTTAAAAAGAAAGAAAGATCATTCTATTTGAAAAACAACTCAAAGTTATACCCAAAACAAAGACATTTAAACCAAATCATATTGGATCCATTCCAGCTTGACTATAATGTAAACACAACCCACTCTCATACAGTCTGAATTTCCAAAACTGGAAAAAGCTTATCAGAGTTCTTGCTTACAAAGCACACAGAGAAGAGTGTCTTGAATGCAAAGCACAGTCCAAGCCTTCAAGCGTTCTCCAAATCTCAGGGTATGGGGTCTGGAAATGCCCTCTGGGTACTGATAGTTACATAAACACTGCATAGCTCTTGCTTTATTTCAGTCTCCCAGATGCTGTGTTGATACAATTAGTGACCCAAAGTCAGGTTTCTCATTTATAAAACTCTTGTTTTCAGAACTGATCATCTGGATGCTAAGGGATGCCTTCACATTTTCAAAAATAATAAGTTAATATGGGCCTCATGGAAGAAAAACACTAGCAAAATCTGCCTGACTTTCTACCAGGCACAAGCAATATTATCTAGGCTTCTGCCTTCAGGAATGCTAACCCTGCTCGTGACTGATGAGGAAAGGTCAGTGCTTGCCAGAAACAGCGATGCAAGGAGAGGCTGGAAAATGAAGGGCTCACCCAATCAGTCTTGCTGCTATGTGGATACGTATGTCTTACACGTGTGACCGGTTTACGGTTATGAGAACAAACACTCCCAGAACGGCCACAGTCTGTGGGATCTGGCCAGAGAACAAGAGCTGGTCCAAGCAGCAAGAGCAGATAAGCCCAACAGCAGCAGCAGACAACTGGTCTTGCACAGAGGCGATGCCACTAGTAAGCCTCAGGAAGAGCAACACAACCAAGGGTCAAAAGATGAGATGTGATATAAGCCCTCGAAGATTCCAGTCCACATGAAAGCAGCGTATTTTGGGGTATTTTCTGCACACACATTGGACTGAAGCCCAGTTCCACACCCCAGTGCCTTGGCTGGCCACCAAGCTGCACTGCAGGCAGATGAAATTGGTGAACCAGCTAAGAAAAAGTGCGCTTGCAAGCAGTGTTAGCTAATAAACATAGATGCTCCTCCCCTCCTAACAACCTCACTCAGGATACCTCAAGAACTATCAGCACCAGTTGTTACATTCAAAAGGTAAACTAACACACACATATCCAGGCTTTGAGCTACTGTCAGAAACATTTTACATTAAGAGGGCTCTGGGCAGGTACTAAGTCTCATACAGAGTGTACAGTTGCTGCAAAGGAGCAGTATTTTATACCTACCTTCTCCAAATATCTATGCAAACCTGCAGAAAAGTCAGCCCCACTTACTGCCTATTCCAAATGGATCAGGGTAATGGAAACTAAACCAGTCTTTCTTTCACCAAAATCATTTCCAAAAACTGAAGTCAGAAGTGATTAAGAGGGTTTAAAATGAATTTTTCTAAATAAAAAGAAAAAAAATTATCTCCTGGGGGAAATCTTCTACACCCAGTTTTACATGGAGAGAAACCCTAACATTATAAAATCACTCAAAAAGAGGGTTATACTCCGTAAACGGCAAGTCTCTCACTCTTAACTGTAGTATCACAAATGCAATGCTATAATAACAGGAGACAGAAGGGTTTGAACAGTGCTTGGATTGCATAGTAATAATAATAATATAGTACTTTCCAAAATTGCCTGAATAGTGTGAAATACCACAACCTACAGGGTGAGGTATAAAAACGGCTGCTTTACACTGGGTGTTACCAACCTCTTTTGTCACTGCCAGAGCATAACTATAGCTCCCTTGGGGATGAAAGGTTCTACATAAAGGAAAGGTATCATTACAATCATTACTATTATTATTGAAATGCAAAACCTGTGAGTAATAAGCAAGTATACATGAAATTTCACAGTCATCCTGTGAACGTATCCTATTAATGCAACTCAAACGTAACATTTCTCTCCCTTACCACACACCAATTGCTACAAGAATGGTGAAATGACCCTCCCACAGGTGTCCTACAGAAGCTGTATGCTTTTCTAAAGAACAGGGTTTGTGTTCGAACGTACAATGCATAATAAATCCCAAAATGTGAAATCCTGGACGACAGGCAGAGGACAAGGGGTCATTCTCTGCAAGCCACCCAGCACTCTGAGTTTCACACCTATACTGAAGCCTGTGTCTGCCCTGAGTAATCACTAGTGACATACAAATGCAGTACTGGAAAAATCTTCAATTTGATATTCTCCACACAAAGTAATAATTTTCGAGGGTCTTGCAGACTTTATTCAGACAAATTTCCAGCCAAGCTCTCCTATAAAATCCTTTTGAATGGAACCAGCATTTTGTGGTGGCCTCTAGAAGGGCCAAAACATCCAAAATGGGGCTCTGCTCCCCCATCCATCCTGACAGGTGCAGCCTGTGCCCGTGGGACATGGGGACCTTCTCAGACTGCAGGCAGCTCCAGAGCCCTGCCTGCAAACCAGAAACAGCTGCCTACTGTCTGGCTACATTTTTAAACAAAATGAAAAAATCTTCAGAGGAGTGTTCTTAAGGAAAAATACAGGGAGGAGGGTAACGGTGGGGCAGACTTACCAAAACCAGTGGTTCAACTAGGCTGACAACCAGGTGTGAATTCAAAGACAGATTAAAAAGGCTGAACAAAATCGGGGAAGTGGAATGGGCACCTCTTTCTGCACTGGTGACCCCAGGGCTCCTGCAAGGCTCTCCCAAATGCTTAACAGGGCTTATGCTGCAAAGCACTTGTTTGTGTGTCATGTTCCTCTGCTTTCAGTTTTGTGGGAAAAACTGCAATTTTTCTCCACAAAACACAACTGCTTCAAAACACCACAGAAACAGTCCACAAGGGATTTGAGAGAGTCTCGCTTGAAGTGCTGACAGCATGCTTGGTTCCTAAAGAAGACATAGTCCCCGGCACCTTAGACTCCAATCCATATTGTACAGGCTTACTTACTTTCATTAAAACTTCAAAGTACCCTTCTGCATTCCCTGGGCTAATCGGAGTATAGGCTCGCTGGACCTCCAAACCATTCACCACTCCTCTGAGGAGAGAAATACAGGAACCCACTGTGACTTGGGTCATTGACTGGTATTACTAAACTTCTGCAGTTCTCTGGGGAGACGAGGGAGACAGCAGGTCCTCTTCCCAGTGGCCCAGCCTGTGCACAGATGCAAAACATTTCCCTTCCAGAGGTAAAAATCCAGGGGGAACGTAATGGCTAAATGCACCTTTTGTTTTCCTGGTAGTGGCCCCAGCTGCACCATACGCTCAGCTCTTGGATACACCCCTGGAAGGACGTTTGAGCCGTTTTTTGAGAAGCAGCTGAACGTGCAAGAGTGGCAAAGAGGAGACAAAATGCTTTCACGGTTAAGTTTGCTGTCCCTTTTGGGCTGGGGTCTGCTTTCCCTTCTGTGTTCGGACAGCATCTGGTAATTAAATAACGACAGCGAGGGCACAGCCTTGACCTGAGCTCTTGTCAATACACACCGCGTTTTCCTGTAGGTCTTCTCTTTCCATAGAATATATCCACCCTGCTCTTTACTACTGACTACAGCAGTTGATCGAAGTGACCAAAGCTTTTCCTCTGCTGCATTACGAGAGATGGCTGAAGGGAGAATCGTGTACTTTCAGCAGCCAGTCAACTGTACGCATCAGCTGTTAATGTACAAATAACGTCAACAGATACAGATCAATGGCATCATAACACAACTTTTTCTATCTGGCAATGATCACCACAGATGGCTGAGAAAGACATAAAACTTTTCCCAAGGGGCCCCTTTCTGGCAAGCAATAAACTACACAGGAGGATTGTTTTGTCAGAAATCAGTCAGGAAATGCCCAGACACTGCTGGGGGTTACACCCCGGGTGCTGAGTTACCCCAAGATACAGGGCCTAAAATACTGAGGTCTAGGGTAAGTACAGCTCATTGCCTTCATTCCAGCATGCTGGAGTAAATCATCTGTTGTAACATCTATTCTTTGAGTCTTTCTTTCTGCAAATGGATTCTCTTAATCACACCTAGTTCTTTCTGACCCACTGATGCAAGGATAATGCTGAAGAAAAATGCAGCTTTGGAATGGCTTTTACCCTAAAATTAGCAGAGCTAGCGAGCTCACAAGTTCTTTCATCTGTGCCATTGTGGAGGTATAGAAATTATGACTTGCCTGGTATGAAGCCTTTGTCTATTGACAAAAACCTACGTATTAGGTTACATAATGCAGACTGTTTAACTAGCACAGAGAACAATACCTTAACACGATATGTTGTCCTAAACTCAATCGCAGACTGCTATTTCCCGGTAATTCAAATCTGTACTGGTAGGTGTCCTCTGTTAGCTGCTCCACTGAGCTTATGTTGAATGCAGTAAATGTATCTGGATTCAGTTCTGAATTACTGCTCTGCAAGAACAACAATAAATAATTACTTGGTTAGATGGTGTCTTTTATTATTTCATTTTTCTTTGGAAGCAAACGTGTGTGCTAATTTAGTGCCAGAGATACTCAGGCCTCCAGAAGAATGCGTATTAAATGCTGAGGCCCAGCGCAAATTTCAGCTCTCTGCTGATTCATTATGATGTTCTGCGGCACACACTTTGGGATCTTGCTTCCCCCCCACACCTTTTTTAAAATTACATTTTTTTACACCTTTACAGCAAGGTCATCCTATTACGACTCACTGCAATCATTTTCTCAAGTCTGGAAACAAACAAATAAAACCGCTAAAAGAGGTGAGCGCTGCTTTGGGCACAACTTTGAAACCTACTGATGACCACTCTGAATAGGAAATACTGTTAGCTGTTTCAAGGCTGATCATTTCTGCCTGACCCAGTATAGTTAATCTTACGTAAAAGGGCACTGACAAGCTTAAAATTATGCTCTGAAGACAACTACTCCACCACACACAATGCAGCTTTTTTCATCCTCAAAACAAGAGTCTAAAAATCAGGAAAAGATGAAAAAGGTCATGAATACAGAGCTTCTCGGAGGAAACTGTCAGGGAAAACTGTGATTCTTTGTACCTTTCACTCAGTCCCTCTTCCCAGAGAGGCTGTCTCTGGCTGGCTGGGGGACCCCAGCAAGGAGAAGCTGCAGTTCCAGGGCTGTAATGTGACACCAGGGCGAACTCGAAGCTTGGAAAATCACATTACAGCAGGGAGAGAGCGGGCAAGGGGGAGGGTGGCTGTGAAGGCAGAGTTTAGGGAATTGCATTTACAGCCTTCTCTTAAGGCACCGCTTTAATCTATTGCTGCATCCCTTGCCCAGCACCACAACCCCACACGCTAACAAGTACGATCAAAGCACAGGCTGTAGGATGTGATGAAGATAAATTGACCTGCTCCTTCTTTTCCATGAGGAGGCTTTTGTCTTGTTTTGCTTTGGCCCTCTCCCATTGTGCAAGTTCCTTCTCATACACATCGTAGATGCAGGGTTTGCAGCCGCTGCCGCAGCACTGGGATGGAGAAGGTTCCTGGGGTTTAAGAGCCAACCAGTCATGCTCATTTCCACTCATTGTCTGAAAAAAACACAAGCCCTGCATCAAAACCAGCACAATGAAGAGCAGCACGTGCTCATCAGCTGAGCATTATTTGGAGTAGAACTGAGAAAATTTCTCTTGAGTATCTTGCATGTGTACCTCGGCGGACTTGGAAAACCGAAAACCTGCGACACAATCTAGTGCCTGCAATGCTCCACTTTTGCTGAAGTGCTCTCTGCCTCTGCATCGTCTGGTGCAGGAATGCCAGATATCACAGCCACCATCCCAGAGCTGCACAGCAGACCCCAGCCCAACCTCAGGCTCTGCTTCTCAGCCTGGCTGCCCAGCCAAAACTACCTTCAGCAGCAGGCACACCCTTACTCCTGCTCGTTCTGCCATGGTCACTTCCTACAAGAGTAGCTTGGTCAGCTGGAGCAGAAACATCTTAAAAATCTGCAGCTTGGTCCAGGAGAATGGATAATGAACGCCAACCACCAAGACAGGGCCTGCCAGAGCACAGCTTTAAAATGGCAGGAGGGCAGTGAGATGGAAGTGGGGTTTAAAGCAAAGAGACTAGAGGCAAATGTGGTAAAGTCACAGGCAAGCAAAAGAACACTTTGGTTATAAGTAGATTTGAGCCTAGCTTTAAAGGCAGATATGTAGCAAATAGCAAGAAGCACCGGCAGTGTGATTTTTATCCCTTACCACTTACAGCTTCAGACACAGCTGTACCTACCAAATGCTCAAACCAAAAGCACGATGCAGACCTCTCAGGGAATCTGCTATTTTTACACAATGGTTGGCTTAATGCCGTTCCCAATGCATTTGTAACTGTATCATTTAAACAAAAAGAGGTCCAAAGGAAATTATAAAGCCACGGGTGACATGGCTGAGGAACAGAACACTTAGCACTTAGAGCAGCTTCGTTTTCAAGATGAATTAATTAACTAACCTTCACTCCTGCAAAACAAATACACTTATTCTAACGTTACGGGGCAGGGCGGGGAGAAAGAAGAGAGGACCAACAGGCAAGCGGTCCTGCCTTCCACAGCGGCCGCCGGTTCTGTGCCCCCTGAGCGGGTCTGGGGGACTCTAAGGTGCGGGGGGACACACGACCTCGACCAGGTCGCGGGTGGAGCCCGGAGCCCCCAGCCTCCAGGCTGGCCACGTTTCTAGAATTTCGAGCACTTACTGTGCGTGCCCGGGGCCTTGGGCACACCGCCCCGCAGGCAGAGCGGCCCCGACCCCGTGAGGGCCCACGCCGGGGCC